GTGAGTAGGACTTCCTCAGCAGACGCTATTTGAGACACTTGGCCGTATAAGGGAGCATTTCGCGAGGTGCAAAGAAAGGGTGACCAGTTGCAACCCTAGACACCCATCCCCGACCATACTGATGCTTTCGGAGGCGATCCCTTCAATACATATCCCCGATTGTTTTATTTTGTTACTGTTTACCTAATCTCGTTTTAGCTCCGGCACCCGTGTGTTTATCTCATTGATGAATAGTTATATCACGTGACCAAAGAAAACCATAAACTGCTTTCCTGGCCTAATGTTTCAGATTTTTGTCATGATTTGACCCATCACTAACGATCTTAGTTGGTGAAACCATTGTAGGAGAGAGAGAAGTAGAACCGTTTTTAATCATTCACTCTTTCTCAACTTCTGTTCAACACCTTCCTTGATTCGTACTCTCTGTATTCTGTATTCCCCTGTTGTCTCCCAGGAAGCCGCGTCAGTCTTGTCAACCAGTTGTTGGTCGAACTGGACGGGATCGATAAACATCGTTCCGGTCGCGTGTTTGTGGTGGGTGCGACCAATCGAAAAGACATGATTGATCCGGCTGTATTGCGACCAGGCCGCCTCGGATTGCATCTGATGGTCAATCCACCAACCAGTCCATCAGATCGTACCTCGGTGTTGGTCGCGTGTACCAAGGCTGCCACAGCTCCTCCTGTGGAAGGAGGTATGCAAGTGTTGTGCGATTTGGCCGCTGACCCGCGCACGGATGGAATGAGGTTGGTTACATTCTCAAATCGATTATGTTGCAGTCAAACAGACTGGTTGTGTTTGGACTTGAGCACGGCACTGTTCTACAGTTCCGGGAAATGGAATGGTCCGTAAAGTGCCATTCCGCTCAAGAGTTGTGTGCAGTTGAACAGCATGTCAGCAAGGCATTTTTTTCGGGCGTGGCAACCAACTTCGTGTGCAAATCTACCTCATCTGAGAATCGATTCAGATTTCGTGGTCATTTCTTATCAGGTCATAATATTTGATGTGTGTGTGTGTGTGTGCACAGTTAGGTTGTCTACATAGCATTGCATGAGTCTGGTGGGGACACGGGACAAGCAATGCTGAGGTTACGCGTAAAGTTTTAGGTAATCGTGGTCGTCCACTGGAGGAAGTAGT